AGTGTCCAGTTCCTCCCAAAGGCAGCATCAACCCAGTTGTATTAGAATAACTACTCTGTCCCTTAATAAACGATAAAGAAATGTTATTTGATTCCAAAAAAAACTGTGATAGTAATCATTTAACAAATCGATTTTTCCAAGTGACCAGAACTTCTTCAACAGATTTATTAGCAATATCAACGCAAAAGATACTTTTGTGACTCATTGTAATGATATTCTATACATTGTAGTTAAGCCAAATGGACACTGTCATATTCATAAGAGGAAACCCTTCTAGAATATAGCTTGATGGTTGATTGTTGTTTCAAAACAGTTTAAAAACCTCATAAGACAAATGAGGTGAAAAAATTATTTAGTAGTACAACATTCTAGAATTAGTATTTATTTTTTTATCTGCACGCATTAAGCCTTTCTGCGTGTTATAGCAACAGAATGAATTGGCAATAAGCAGAGAGTACAACGTAAAATTCCTCCTATCTAAAAGCCTTCTGTCCCTGTGCTTGTGAAGCTCAGACAAGCACTGTCTGATAATCCTGTTTGGAGAGGTCTCCTGCTCACTGATATATACCCTTTGGGATACAAGAGGGCTTAGCACTGCTTGATTTAGACTACATGGCCAGTGTTTAAATGCTTCACTTACTGGGGAAAAAAACACAGCTTAATACAGCTGTCTTGGAGCCTGTCAAACAGCATTTAAACAATGTGAGCCTGTCCATAAATAGAATACAGCAAGAACTTAGAAAGTATAATAAAGTTACTAACACCCTCATGCTTCATTAGCATTAGCAAGTGTGATCTTGACATAACTATGACTAATATTTACAGAGATACGTCACTTAACTCTGATCTAAACCCTAACTGGATGAAACAATTGCCATGGTTTATGTTTTCATAAAATACTGTTTTCACCTTTTTTTTTTTCCCTTTTTAGCATCTCAGTGTTGCTGCTCTCCTTCAGTCTCTTTCAGTCCCTTCCTGTCTACATGCACTTCCTCCAGCGTTGTCTGCACATCATTGCTTTGCAATGACTTTCCAATAGTGACAACATTGACCATGCCATACAATCTGTACAGCCACTAGTAGTAGTAGTAGTAGTATATCAGGGGTGTATGTGACGTGTTGACAACATAGGAGCACAGCTGGAAGACAGTTGTCCCCAGATAATAGTTAATGCCTGGGCGAGGCCCTTCATGGTATGATCACTAGTTATTATTAATGAATACTGCAGATTTAAAATGACCGAAAACAACTTTTGTTAGTGACTGGGTTTAGATAAAAAAAATTACCTAAAATTCCTTTTGCCAGTATGGGTGCAGTAAGATAGGCAAGACAACCAAGACAAGCCAAGTCTACTTTGGTGACCAGATACTCAACTGGCCACTCAAAATACTCCCAATGCACATGTTGCTGGACAAGGCCTGAAGTAGGAGGGTGCTGTAGCAACTACAGCAGGTTGACTGGTATGAGCAAGTTGCCAGGACATCATGGATCTGTAATCAATTGTCCAAGTATCTATTTAAAGTAATTACATCACAATAAGTACAAGTGCTTTAAGGCCATGTAGGACCTCTTGGCCAGTCATGCGATATTCATCATAAGCAAAGTACCCCCAAACATTATACCTAACCTCTAAAGGAAGCTCTAACACCTAACCTCTAAGGCTAAGTTTACCTTTCAGACCATGTTTCATGTTCAGGGTGTAACATAAAACATGGTCACATCGAAACCTCCCATCCCCCAACTTACCTGAATCGCGGGTGTCAGCACCATGCCGGTTCCACGCATGCGCCAAGTACCGCTAGGCAGAAGAATACACGCATGCGCACAACGACCACTTCCCACAGAAAGACGCGCAGGATGGCGCACAGGAAGTGATGCGCAGATGGAGCGTGTTCTAAGAAAAATGTGCCAAAGGCGCACAGGAAGTGATGCGCAGATGGAGCGTGTTCTAAGAAAAATGTGCCAAAGGCGCACAGGAAGTGACATAATTGATTAGTTCACTTCCCTATTTAAACCAAGCCAGCCTGTCACTTACTTGCTGGATTGTCTTATCAGCTCCTGTCTGTGTTGTGTCTCCTGTTTCCTGTCTTGAATATTAGATTGCCGTTGCCTGGATTTTGACCCGTTCCTGCCTCCACTACCTGCCTTGACTGCCACCTGCCTTTTTGACCCTGGACTGTTTTGATTATTCTTCTGCCTCTTCCTTCGGTACTGCAACTGACCTCCTGGATTTTGACCTCGGCTTGCCTCGACTTTGAATTCTGGATTACCCTTCTACTTGCACGGTTTCATAACTACTGGCACTCGTGCCACTCGGTGTCTGCCTGGCCTCTGTCACCATCCTCAAAGGCTTTTAGACACGAGGTGCAAGGGAAGCCTCCTCAACCATCCAGTCTCCCAGACCAGGTTCGTAATAGCGGGGTTCTTCTCCTTGCAGTCTGTTATTGACTTTATACATCCCTTTAAAAGTAGCCCCCAAACTTTACTCTTAAAACATGGAACCTCTTAGCCTAAAGTTGCCCATACTTGAGGCAAATTGATAGATTGCCTTTGATTGATCTCAAGAATGTGGGATAGAAATTGCCCAGATCGAACCTGGTGGACAAAACCAATCATTTTTCATTAAATTGCTGTAGTGTTTTTCCATTGTCAGTTCGCTCTTTCAGTAAATTGTATTGAAGGTGTTAATTTATTTCCCACTTTTAACCTGACAATAGAATGCATTCTGGTGGTCAATCAAAATTGTGGGTGGTATATTGTTTCTGACAATTACTTTTGAGTGTAAGTATGATTCCTGGTGGATAAAAAATGATTGAAAATGACAAAAAATTGTCACATGTATTACCGGCTTTATACACACCTAACCCCCCAAAAATAAATACTAATAATAATTAACGCTTAGCCTCTGTACTGATGGTATACAGGTCTCCTGCAGAGAGCATGCAGTGCTGAAATTCTGGAGCAAGGACAACGTGCTTTGACATTTAAAAAATACATATGAAGGAAGAAGGATAATTAGAAAATGTTTTTTTTCTTGTGTGCACTCAACGGCTATAATAATAAAAAAAAAATCAGAATACGAATGATGGTTTACCGCCTCTGGTAGCAGCGTGTGTGTTTCTTTCATTATGCTTTTCTGTTTCTGAATCAAGATATTCGGTTTCTCCCCATTTTTTAGATATAATGGTACCAAAAAGGATGGTAAGCATATTGATTAGGGGATGTCACAAATGTAATTATACCAAATATTTATGTGACTCGAAAATATCTACTATATTTAAATTTTTGTCAGTGATACGTATGTGGCTAATATTTTATTGTTTAATAGATATACAAATATAATTGATTTACATTGTTTCGACATTACTGGCAGTTGAACAATAAGTACAAACCATTTGTAATTGATGTACATTTTACAATAAGTAAAAGCCAGCTTTGCTGCAGCTATTCCCTTGCAATATTAGCCAGTTATATTTTGCAGAGATTCATTGCTGGCACAAAGTCTAATGCAGCAGCCAGAGAGTCTCTATGAAGATAAGCTTGTGAGATGCACTGAGAAGGTTTTACTTGCAATAAACAAGCAATTGGTTAGTGGCACCTGTCAATCATCTGTTTATAGGCTGAGCAGGGTAAAGAAAAGGAATCACTTTGGTGAATGTATTTATAGCAACACCTCCAGGTGAAGCCAGCAAGGATGGCTTTAACATTTACCTTCACTAATCATTAGACAATTCAGGATAGCAGCAATTCAACTGGATTTACAACAAAACTACAATTACAAAATAATACATATTTCAGTGAAATGGTCTAACTTGAGATCCTTACACAACACGTGCAATACTAATACTTCTAACGGATTGCTACTTCTAGCAGAAACATGGCATTTTTTTGATCAGTCACAGGAAACCTTTAGTATCTAGGGCCTGTTTTAGCCTTTAGTAGAGGAAGATCAATACTTTTGTCAGATTTCTATTACTGTCTGTTAACTCACTAGGGAGATTTACCCTCCCTGTTTGTCCTCCTGACTATTGTCACTGAGACAGAAAGTGATGGGAAACCTAAACTTTTACGGTTGTCACCAAAAATGGATGTACAGAGAACTCTTCCAATGGGAGCACCAGTTTAGAGACAACTGTTTTAGAGACTTTAATGTACAATAAGCTTTAATTGAAAAACATTTAATTTGCTAAAGTACTGTACACCACAAACAACAGGCTTTAAAAAAAATTATTCTATTTTAAGCTTTGTTTCATAATTTTTTGCATATTAGCACAGAATCTTTAGCAGCCTCTCTGCAGACACTTCTTGTCCACATACAGTACACACTCTAGCAACTGCTGAAAGTCATCTCTCTGGGCAGGTTTCCTGATGGTGGCAACAATGGAACATGCTTGTAGTCTCCATTTAGGAAAGCATGTGACTGGGTTACAATCAGGGTTTTGCCTCCCATGGGGCCACTTGGCGGCACTCATAGAGGAATTGGTGGGGGAGAGTGGTACTGCAGCAGAACAACTCGGACACAGAGAAAGGGAGTTTTCACCCTATAACAGTAAGTGCCTGCACTAGACCACTCATTGTAGGATCATAAAGTATTATCATTAAAATAACATGGTAAATCTGACATGAGAATATAGTTAATGATTTTACTTTAAATTAGTAAACCCCAAGATATTTGGAATGTAAGTGTTGATAAAAATGAAAAAGCTACTTTAGTAATTTCTTTTGTATATAGTAAATAAAACCTATTTATAACATTCAAAGAAAAGAACATGGAAACAAAACTGAGTTGTTGACCATAGTGACTAATCAGATTTCATATATATATTCTCTAAGAAAAATAGACAAGGAAATTGATTGGTTAATATTGGCAACAACTCAAATTTTTTTCCCAATCTTCAAATTGCTTTCAAAAGTCTTAAAGTTGCTTTGTTGTGAGTTAATCACCCATCTTTCACAGGTAACATATAGAGATTTGAGTATAGGAATTGTTAAAGTAGTACCTGAAAGAACCCTGGAGGCATGGGTCCACCTGGAATTCCATCATTTGGTGGCATGTTACCCATAACTGGACTGGGAGCTGCTGCTGCACTCTGCAATGATAAGTAAACAGTATATATTAATATTACCACAATCTAAAAATAACACAAAATGTAACACTTATATGGGCATGTGTTGATGGGCTTTTGTTCATGTCACATGGGTTTTGCATTTTCATACAAGTCTATTACAATGCAATATCCACTTGAAGTAGGTAAATTACAGCTCAGGAGGAGGTCACCTACATGTCAAAATGCCCCTGTCAATGCAATCTGAATGATCTCAGAAGCATCTAAAACTGATGTCAAACGCAACCTATTAGAACAAGCCCAAAGCCCGTTGACACAGTCACAATTGATGGTTTATGAAAACTGCAGTATAACTTTTTCCAGTGGCAACAAATTAAATCTATTTTTCTTACATAATACCTGGTTGCTATAGGCCAGCATTTCTCAACCTTTTTTCAGCCATGGCACACTTAAAAAGAAAACAAAATCTTAAGGGCACCCCAATCTAAAATGTAAAAGCCGTAAATGTAAAAAATGACATGGAGTCCCTCAAAAATCCATACTAGTCCCTTATCCCAGATAGGGGTCTGGTATGAATTTCAAGGGGGGACCCCACAAGAACACAACCAGAGTGCCACCTATTACATAAGAGTCCCCCTTCACATCAGAGTCCCCCTTTTTTACATCAGTGGCATGATGTTGTGTGAAAATTTCAAAGCACCCCTGAGGAAGGCAGAAGGCACCCCCTGGGTTCCACGGCAGCCTGGTTGAGAAAGGCTGCTATAGCCAAAATTTGCACTTTGCTCCAACTTTTCTAGCCCCGCAAAACATAATAGTACGTATAAATAAACTACTTGAGCTTGACTCATTTAAAGAACTTTATTTAGTAAGAAACATTTCTTCATTTCATACTCATTATTGAACAAACAAGTACAGTAGAGGAAACCCCACCTTCTTAGCATTTGTAATGTTTGTAATACTAGAAGGCATGTGTAATCTGTGACACTGTTAGTGACTTTAAAATGATCAGAATGCTTCTTTTTAATATATAGAATCAAATATCAAGATATTTGAGAAAAAAAAACCTATATTCATATGTAACTACATGTAACATCTACAATAAACAAAATAAAAATGCATCCAACATAGTACCCATCAGTTTACACTTTACGATGGCAGGCACTGCTGTTTCAACTGTCTTTCAAGAATCTTTTTGTACAATTCTTGGTAAAGACTTTTTATGTTAATAGACACAGCTACAAGTGTAACCGTCTCCTATACGAAGACCGCTCCTCCTTTCAAAACAGAGGGCTTTCCCGCCAACACAAAGCTACTTCCTCAGGTTTCTCAAAGATCTGACAATAATACTGTTGAAACACACTAGGGTTGATATACTAGGCATAGAGGCTGTTCAGTTAGCAAAGTGTATGTGTACTTAGCTTTGTAAATAAAGTGAAGTTATGTTTACTTTAAAGCAGAACTCCAGGAAATAAGCTTATATTGGTCCAGCTTCGCTCATTGTAGGTAATCATATCTGATATCCAGAGGGCCGCTAGGAATGCTTGAACATTTCTGTAGTAGTCTGTGGAACATACAGATAGCCAGAGGAACCACTGGAAATCACTGTAGTAGTGATTGGTGTGTATTGTAGTAGCAGCGTCAAATACTGTGATAGCCATAATCTTCCGACTGTGGCTCCAGCGGCTTCCCCTCTGCACACTTAGTACAAACAGTCACTCGCTCTGCAATGCCACCATTCAGAGAACGCCTTGTTCAATACAAGGTTTTCCCTGATTGGACAAGGAGCGGTAGATGACATCACAATCCCACCCTCGACCAATCAAATACAATGCCTTATATTCATTCATTCATTCAAAAAAATAAAATAAAAGGTGTTCTCTTAATGGTGGCATTGCTGAGCAAATCCCTGTGCTCGTTGTGCAGGGTGGAAAATTGAAGCCAGAAGATAATGGCTATCACCGTATGTTACACGCAGTACTACAGTGATTTGTAAGCATTCCCAGGGGCCCTCTGGATATCAGATATGGACACTTACATTGAGCGAAGCTGGAGTAACATGAGTTTGCAAAATAAATGCTTCACACACTCTAATATTTTGTTGAACCACTTTTAGCTTTGATTACAGCACACATTGCCGTGGCTTCGATAAGCATATGCAACATTTATTTCCATCCAGAGTTGCATTAATGTTTCACCAAGATCTTGTAGTGATGATGGGATAGTCAGACCACTGCGTAAAGTCTTCTCCAGCACATCCCAAAGATTATCAATGGGGTTAAGGTCTGGACTCTGTGGTGGCCAAATGTGTGAAAATGACATCTCATGCACCCTTAACCACTCTTGGAATATGCCTGTGCCATCAGGGAAGAAAAAAATCCATTGATGGAAAAACCTGGTCATTCAGTATATTCAGGTAGGCAGCTGACCTCATGTTTTGGCCACATAATGTTGCTGAACCTAGGCCTATTATCTCTGAACTATTTGCTTAGCTAAATCCAGGGGGTGACTTTTTTTTAGCCAGGCAGTGTATACCTTTTATTGCACTTTTATTTAACCTCTAAATTCTTGCATTTGTCATTTTAAATGACCAGTATAAAGGAAAATAAATGGTAAACCCTTGTGGGTTTAACCAGTCACTTTGCAAATTAGTTCTTTGTGATCTCCATCACTGGAGGTGTGGTGGGAGGTGTGTCCTTTGCTTATGTACTTTGTACTATGAGGTGTCTCTTTATCGTCTCTGAAGTTAGGGAGGTACACATTTTTATTTCGACAAAGTATGACAGCTCTGCCAGTTATTATAATGGTTGCCATCCCACCAGCATTTGATCCATGACTTGTGCAGCTTCTCATTCCAAACTGAAAGCACTGCTTGCTCATTGAGCCTGCTCGTTCATTGAGCCCTACACTTACCTACATTACACTAGATTATAAATTTAGGGTTAAGACTAGTGAACAAAATTTTTTAAAGAATCGAATAAAGTGATTCTGGTCATAATCAGGTGGGAGAGGGGCTGGTTTCTATTTCTTGGGCGCATGAAGGTGAAAGACTCTTTCCTATGATTAAGTCCTGTGGGTGAAACATGTAAGGAGAGAGTTTCTTTCGTTCTGGGGAGCTTTGGAAGGTGTATGCTGTTTCATGGATTAAAATAACATTTGGATTTATTTGGAGGAAGCATTGAGTGCGGCTTTTCTTGGACAAAACATGATTCTATTGTGGTATCTGCTGTGTCTATTAGCTCCAACTCTAATCTCAGGCGTTCCAAGGTGCAGAGTTTTTTTACACTAACAACATCCATACAAACACTGCAGTAAAACCAAAGATCATTATATTTAATAGGGGAATTCCGGTAACTCAAAGGTTACAGCACAGAAAGGCAGGATATTTTATTTAAGCATATCTTTCAGCTGAAGACATCCTCTCCAGGGGAAAATGTTTGTCACTATCCTAAATACTGAAGGGCGGAAGTGTTTAACCAAAGTTGTGTCCGGTTCCTATGACAACAACCGACTTACAACCATTTATCAAACCTGGCACGGAAACCACATTCCCTGAACAGCAAGTACTATCATTTAATACTCTGCAACTCCCTTAGTGGGAGACGTTCTTGCTTCTTGTAGCGATTTTACTTCGAAAATTATACTTTGTTTACCATTTTTGTTTCAAGCCATTATAAATAGCACCTCAGCACAGACAGAGAAGGATTTATTTGTTGTTGTTAAGTTAGCATTAGCCACTTAGCTCTGATTTACCTGCTATTGATACATAAAGCTAAACTCTGGGCAGACATAAAAGGCAAAAATGAATGCAGGTCTGTAATCATTAATACAAAGTGCCAGTCAGGTATGCTGAAGTGCAAAAAGCCATGGTGATCTAACGAGGGAGCAGAGGGGCAGATTAGATGAGCATGTCACTGTCCAACCACAGGGCATATGCATATGTGAAAAAAATACTGCACTGAAATCTCAAACAATGTTATTAGTTCTACCAAGTACACCTATGTGTAATACAGGAACCCGCCCCCCCCCAATGTAATGGAGATGAGTAGAGGGCAAGGTGATAATGCTGCTTCTCACTAAATACAGTACAGCGAATAAAGAAAAACAGCCATCACATATAATGACTAGTAGGCTGCACTATTTTATATTTTTGGTTTAGCTACACTTTAAGGAAAGTAAAGTATAATAAATAGGTGTGCGTTACAGTGTACTAGCCAGGGGCATTGATGGGCCCAGATAGGGCCACTGCTAAGATATTAGCTAAGGACGTGATGTGGTTTAAGCCCAGTAGAAAGTTGACAACTCAATAGACTAAAATGTTGTTTATCTGTGTAGGCTTATATTTGTCTTTGCTGGCCACCTTTTGACACTCATGGGCAATCCAGCAGAAGAACAGAAGGGGAACAGGAGCTGTTGAGAGGAATTACAACTGCAAAAAAAAGTTCAGTAAAAAACAGAAATCTCCTGTAAATTTGAAAGATGTACTTTGTGGTAGCTAACATCAAAGAGTGTTTACAATTGTATTAAGTTACCTGTCTATGTCAGGAAGCTTCCTTTGTGTTCATCTTTAGCATATGATGTCATTATTTTTTAGACCTTAACACATTAAGTCATTTTGAAGGTTTTGCGAGCAAGTCACCTATATATCAGGGACCAACTGTTTATTTTCTTTAAGATGGCATATTTTGGTTTGAAAATGTACATATCAAATTAGTAATTGATCTACCTATTGACACATTATTCAACTAGCAGTACCCATCCAGTACCACGTGAATTGACAGTCACCTGGTCAGGCTATTTTAGACTGACTGGAAAATGGCCTCATATCTGTGGGTGTCACATGAGCATACGTCCAAAATGCTTTCAGGTGGAACAGTAAGTTGGCCAGGAAATCCTACCCCGATTGCTATTGCTTTCTTGCTGATAAGCTCCAACTTCCTGTTCTGTCTCCCTATTGCCTACATAGATGTTACTAGTAAGTTTGGCCAAGCTAAGCTCACATGTTAATAGAATGCTTTGCAAGAGCT